TTTGATGTCACACAAAATCGAAGACTTACAAGCGAAAACCGACAAACTGGTCGAAGAAGCAGCAAAGACAGGCAGGACTCCAGGTGAACATAGACAAGACGGAGGTTATGAAAATAACCAAACAACCAACCGACAACAACAGCAGCAGCAGAAACATCCAGCGCGAATCATCATCAACGGGGTGGATTTGAAAGAGGTTACTTCATTCATTCACTTTTCTAGGCAACCAGCATTGTCTCAACTACAGGCAAAGTCACATCGTAAATCAACACACTACCGATGTATCGCACAACCACAAAGGGAAGCACTAAAATTAGAGATTTATTTTTTTTGTTTCCTTCACGTTCCCCAATGGAACATAGGGCTTCAAGCTACTGGCTTGAAGTTTCTGTAGCAGTGTTTATTTTACAGGATGTGGTTGCCAATCTCATGCCCAACCTTTCCTCTTCACCAGCATTATTTCTGGCTTAGTAAGGTAAAGGAGTGCGTCTGTGGCCGGGGATCGAACCCCGGACCATGTGAATGGCCGGCGTGCGTCCTAACCGCTATGCCACCAAAACACAGACAACATTTTAGTACGTTAGAAAATTAAACTTAAACAATGAAAGTTAACAGATAAACAACAACATTAGGTTAGATTAGACAGGGACAAAGACAAGTAATAAGAATCTAGTCAACGTAAGGTATACAAATGTCAGAATAATGACTTACAGTCTAGAAGAAAAATGGACTATATGATGACCACAAAGTTAGTTGAAACATTCAAGGTAAGTATAAAAATATTCTAATCAGATCATTCACGAGGGTTTCTACAAACAATCACTGAGTTATAACCAAATCAAAAATCCTGAAGTTTTTTCACAGGATTTCACACTTTTTTAATATCACTAAGTAGCACAAAAAAACCTAAACGAAGAAATAAAACATAGAAAAAGCTTTGGTGTTGAAAAGCTATCTTATAAAATTCATTAGGAAAATCACAAAAGGCCAAAAGCAAAATAAAATAAAAATAATTGTGGAACTAGTAATGATAACATAAATAAGAGAGAAAATAAGTCATCCACTGTTATACCATATAAAGACGGCATATATCTCAGACCCTACGTAGGATTCTGAATAAAGCAGGAATTAGGCTAGTGGCATTCAAACCTACAAACTCACTCAGGTAGGACAAGCTCTGTAGGTTTAATGACCCTGTCGGTTGACCCAATCAGACAAAATAATATGATTTACAAAATACCGTGCAATGACTGTGAGTGAGGTGAACTACGTAGGTCAAACTAGTAGGTCGGTGGTAGTCAGATTATCAGAACATTGTCAGAATTTAGCTAAGGGAAGAATGGTTGACCCCACCCGAGAAGATAAGTAATTTAGAAAAAGCTCATCAATTGCACTTCACGCATTAACAAACAACCACACAATAGGGTGGGATAGGGTTAAAATTCTAAAGAGGTTGATTACAGAATTCTTGTTCATTGAGTCTACACCCAACACATGCAACAGAAATGACTCAATGCAAATACCAGAAATATGGAAGATATTATTACCACCAGTCAGTCATATCAGAAGAGGATAATAAATAATCTCAAAATTCTATTTCAATTCAAGCACATCACCACATTCTAAGAAGTAACTTATTATGACTGTAGAAACACTCGTCTTATTTCCCATCTGATTGTAATTGATCAACAACACTCGTTTTATTATCTCTGAATGTACATTATCTCATATTGAATTTTATTCCAATATCTAGTCAATTCCACATATGTATATAAATGAAGGAAAAAAGTTGTGTGAGTAGTGCCTTGATATGATTATGAGTGGCAATAGTTTGTGCTCGAAACGTGGTCATCAGTTAATATTACTGTACAACAATGTGTGATTTATCAGAATAAAATCTTATCCGTAATGGAATTATGCTCTACCACAGTGTCCAAGTTTTATACTGATATCAATAACCCTAATATTTTGAATTTCAATTCACAAACTTTTATATCTGAGAAATATTTTTTCTGATTTCACTAATAATGCTGTTTATAATATTTTTTTTCACTCCCTGACATCCTGAGTACAACTCAGGGTTTTGAAGCTTTAAAGTTTCACAGTGGCAGTGACTCTGTTTATTCCGGGATGGGCCACTAGCCTCACGTCCAACTTTTCCTCGTTTCCCGGATTACTGCTGGCTAGTATAAACTAGGCGATATTAGGGCCAAGTTAAACTTTAGACACCAGTAACTACCAATCAGCGAAGGACGTCGAATTATCCAATGAGATTCACGAACGTAGTTCAATGTTGTATAGCGCTTCATTCATTTCAAATGCGTGCCCTTACAAGGTTACGTTTGCAATTCGAAGAGGATAGTGTCTTTCAGTATTGCCTGGACTTAGGCTTGCTTCGAAAGGAGAGAACTTGTTCGTGTGGTGGTGTAATGACTCTAAAAAGCTATACCAGGTCAACTGATGGATTTGTCCATCGTTGTGGAATATGCTGGAAGCGAGTTAGTATTAGAGAGGGTAAGCTGCTAATTTTAATATTTCGTAGGAACTTTTTTTGCTAGGTCGCATCTCTCCCTAACCCAGATTTTGTATATCTGCAACTACTGGGTATTGAAACAGCCAGTGAGAGCCGCAGCTGCCGAGACGGAGAACAGCCTCGTCTCAACAGTTCAGAGGTACCAGCACTGCAGAGAAATCGCCTCATGGAAAATGGAGGCGACTACTCTGATACCTATTATAACGTGACTTGTCAAACGGGGATCAATTGTACATACCGACGAGTGGAAAGGTTACAATTCATTGTCATCCCTGGGATACATTCATCACAGAGTGAACCACTCCAATGATTTCATGGATCCAGTTACAGGGACTCATACAAATTCCACTGAAGGATTTTGGGGTCGATTGAAAAATAGGATACGGGCTATAAATGGATCTCAAAAGGATCTCATTTATAGTCATTTAGATGAATATATGTATAGAATGTGGTGTGACTTCTCTATTGACAGTCCCATGCTGAATTGGGAGATGTTTCTGTCCCATGTTCGGGAAAGATACCCATTGTAACCGTTTCATCCTTTTTTTAATACATTTTTCTAGTTTCCACGTATCATAAACGCCTCTTTCATGTGATTGGTCCGTTCAAGGTCGTTTGCTGATTGGTTGTTACTGATGTCGAAAGTTTAACTTTGCCATATTTAGGAGTCAGGTCAGGATTCGAACCCGAAACTGCCCTGTGGTTGGTGACTATGCTCTCCCATTGAACCACCAACACGCTTTGCTTCTAATAAGTATTAAACTCTCGATGTTGACAGACAGTTTTATCATTAGTAAACTGTTATAGCCAATCAGATTGCTTCAGGCATCCGGAGAATATTTCAAGTCAACCAATAATAATAATATGAGTTTATCACAATTGAAATAAAGGATCTGTAAAGACAAAAAATTGCAATAAACAGTTAGCATTAAATAATTCTAAGTTGAAGTTATTAAAAGCAAATGGAAAACACGCGTCCTATTTTATCCCCAAGTAAGTATATTTATTTCTTTTTTATTGAACTTGTTTTCTAATTATTCGGTGATTTGTTAAACTCATTG